AGGTTTGTCAAAGATCAGATGGTTGTAGATGTGTTGTGTTGCCTCTGATGCCTCTGATCTGTTCCATTGGTCTATATCTCTGTTTTGGTACCAGTACCATGCTGTTTTGATTACTGTAGCCTTGTAGTATAGTTTGAAGTCTGGTAGTTTGATGCCTCCTGCTGTGTTCTTTTTGCTTAGAATTGACTTGGCTACGCAGGCTCTCTTTTGGTTCCATATGAAGTTTAAGGTGGTTTTTTCCAGTTCTATGAAGAAGGTCATTGGTAGCTTGATGGGGATAGTGTTGAATCTGTAAATTACTTTGGGCAGTATGGCCATTTTCACGATATTGATTTTTCCTAACCATGAACATGGAATGTTTCTCCATCTGTGTGTCCTCTCTTGTTCGTTGAGCAGTGGTTTGTAGTTCTCCTTGAAGAGGTCCTTTACGTTCCTTGTGAGTTGTATTCCTAGGTATTTTATTCTCTTTGTAGCAATTGTGAATGGCAGTTCGTTCTTGATTTGGCTCTCTTTAAGTCTGTTATTGGTGTAGAGGAATGCTTGTGATTTTTGCACATTGATTTTATATCCTGAGACTTTGCTGAAGTTGCTTATCAGTTTCAGAAGTTTTTGGGCTGAGGCGATGGGGTCTTCTAGATATACAATCATGTCATCTGCAGATAGAGACAATTTGACTTCCTCCTTTCCTATTTGAATACTCTTTATTTCTTTTTCTTGCCTGATTGCTCTGGCTAGAACTTCCAGTACTATATTGAATAGGAGTGGTGAGAGAGGGCATCCTTGTCTAGTGCCAGATTTCAAAGGGAATGCTTCCAGTTTTTGCCCATTCAATATGATATTGGCTGTTGGTTTGTCATAAATAGCTTTTATTATTTTGAGATACGTTCCTTCAATACTGAGTTTATTGAGGGTTTTTAGCATAAAGGGCTGTTGAATTTTGTCAAAGGCCTTCTCCGCATCAATTGAGATAATCATGTGGTTTTTGTCTCTGGGGAACATTGGAGTTTTATCTGTATCTTCTTGAGGTTGACTACAACCTTCTTGTATAAAAATATTATTTGTTATGGGGGTTAGAGATGAGTGTTACCCAGAGAGGCAGCTTTAATGTTTTGCGCTTTAAGAGTCTTTCCAATTCTCAAACTTACCCTTCTCTAACTTGTAGGGCAGTTGAACATCTTCTAACTGAATGATCTCAGCAGGACATCCTGAGCTTCTAATGAGGTTAGCGTTCCAGAAAACATTTGGCTTAGAGAATACCTAAAACGACATGTACTCTAAAGGCAGTTAAAATTTAAGGACCCAATAGAAGTGTGCTCTCTCTCTCTCTCTCTCTCTCTCTCTTTCTCTCTCTCTCTGTCTCTCTCTCTCTCTCTCTCTCTCTGTGTGTGTGTGTGTGTGTTTTGGCCTCTGGAATGTGAAAGCTAGTATTCTCTCTAGTAATTTGTTTTTCTCTCTCATACTGATTACATACTCAGATTAAAAATGTAATAGGTTGCATATTATGTTATTCTCAGAATATCTGAAAGGAAACCAAACATTCCATCCTTCATGAGTCAGTTTTCCTACTTGTGGTGTAGAAAAGAGTGACCTCTCAGAGAAGCTGATGAAATTGACAGATTACTTTTTTGAAATGAACTTAAATTTTCTGCAATATTCTGAGTCCGAACCATCAACTGAGTAGCTTTCCTTTTTGTGTGTATATTTTAAAGTGCCAGTCATGGTTGAATGTTAATAATCAATCTGGGCATTGATCTTCAAAAATACAGAATGCCTTTCCAAATGTGCTGACTATTGTGTTTAATACAATTTTATTTTTGTTCTTGGTATAGACAGGAAGGAGAGGTCAGTCATGTATTTGTGGGATTTGTATGTTCTTGGCATTTGAACATTTTTGAATCTTTCCTTATCCATTTAATTTTTTATCCATCAAAGATTTAATCTGTGCCTCTACTGTGAGCCAGGCTCTGTGCTAGGAGCTGGGAAATGTCAGTGAAGCAAAAGCGAAGTCCTCATAGGAGGCAAATAAAGAACAATTTCCAAGGGGGGGGAAGCTTCAGACAGTCCCCCGATAACTGCCCTTTCAGAACCACTGTTGTCGGCTACTAGCTCCATACAAACCCTGTTCCCTCCTTTTATAACCCCACAGCCCTGGAGACCTTTGTGTGCCTTAGAGGTCAGTTCACAGATGTGGCCCTGGGACGCACTCCTCTTTATCTATATTGTACTTACAAGAGATGGAGCCTCATGGGTCTTTTCTAATTTTTTCCTTTTTCTTTTTTTGATTAGCATCTGCACAAATGGCCTCAGTTCATTGCTTTAAACTAACTAATCCGGCTTGTTAAGACGGAGATTGTCATCCACAAGTTGTTATTAGCAGTTTTCTAAAGGAAGAGGGTCCCAGTCAAAGCAGGGCAGGCTTTGGAGAAAGGTTATATAATATATGTTCTTCAGGAGCCATATGAGAGGGAGACAATGCTGCCTCCCAGGGCCTGTTCTCAAGAGCTACTTTACAGGCTTACATAGTCCTGCCTATTCTACCTCATGAAAAGGGAGATCCAATCATTGCTTTCTGGAAACTATTCTCCTCATCTCTTTGGCTGTCATATGTATTTAACAGTAGTGCCCTCAAGGACAATGGTAGGGGGGGCCGGTAAGCATGCTAGGGGCTCCAGCCTACAGTCTGTAGTTTTTCATTTCACGTTGCTGGGTTTGCTAAGAATGGTCTTCTTTGTTTCCATTTTGAGTCATGGCTGAATTCTTATATGTTGTCTGATCTTCAAGCTCAAATACCCAAGGGACCAGGCAGCTGTGAATCAACCGTGTATGTATGTGTGTGTGTGTGTGTGTGTGTGTGTGTGTGTTTTCTAGGAGGTACTATAGCAAAGAAGACAGTATACTTTTCCTTATTTCTTTAAATCGATAGGGATTTGGAGGAAAAGACTTTAATAAAATAGAATTGTGACTGATTATTTTCCCCTTTCCGAGCACTGCTGTGAAATCAGAAGGTTATGAATAGCATGAGGAAAAAAAATAATAAAAAAACCCTTTTCTAAGGCAGTCCTATGGATTTAAACCCAAACCTTAGATTTATAATAAAAGCTCAGTGTCTATATGCTAACCTCCACCTTATGAGATGGATCTCTTTTCTGATGGCGGAGTATAAAGAAATCTTCCACACGCTTTCACTTATTGGGAAGGTACACAGTTGCTTATCTGTTGTTTTTCTTCCACATAGTCTACACTGTGATTTGGAAATTTGACATCATGTATTTTTTTCCCCCAGGCCAGATGTTTTATCTTGCTATGTTAAGTCATCTTGACATGTTGCCATGAAATGGAAACAACTGCTCATTTTAATATTGCTCCATATCTTTATTACAAGGTACGTCTCATGCATCTTAATTCCTCATATTTTCCCTCACTGTCGTTCTCTGATCTTCTGCGTCCCAACCCCCCTCTACTCCTGAAGAAGGCATATTGTAATTGTATGACAGTCGTGTCCCAGTAGCTAAAGAGGTTCTAGATAGCATAATGAATATGCAGCGTATTATCTCCCAGGATGTGTGCCTGTGTCTTTAATCACAGCTGGAATGCAAAATCGAGCTCCACCTTTCAACTCTATCTCCATCATGCTGAGAGAGTGAGAGAGAGCGAGACGGAGACTGCTAGACAGCTCGAAAGAGATTGCAGCTCAGATGTCCTGAAAACAGCAAATCCCTCAGACCTGGCAGATTCCGTTACCATGAGAACTGCAGATATTTCCATTGTGATGGTTCGCTCCAACAGCCATCTGTTACACCCATTTGATTAGGAAGTACAGTTCAGCTTGCATGGGATTTTCATCACACCTTATCCCAGGGCAGTATATAGAGGCGCTTGCTTTTTTATATGCTAAACTCCAAGGCTTCAAAGTACTGTAATTTACCTAGGCGGAGGGCATTTAATGAAATGGTATGAGAAGGTCACTAAAGACCGAAGTGCTGAGAAGAAATACATACAGGAGATGTAAGAGAGGATTAGACTCTACAGCTGAAATGCAACCAACTCAGAAAATTAACCACGTTTAGCCATCCCTTCTCTTGGTAGAAAAATGTAAAATGGGGACCTGGGATCTGAGCGCTTGCATTCCAAAGGGTGGAAGATGTTTTTGTGTGGTCATGGCATGAGTATTACTGGAGCAGTAATTATTTTTCAGGACTCAAGGACAGTCAAAAGAAAGGGAGAGAGAGGTAGTGCCTCAAACACATCTCATCAGCAGAGATGAATCCACTGTATAAAGATTACATTAGCTCTAAAAATTTTATGATGCCATCTAACTTTTCCGTAGACACAAAACGACCTTAAAAGTTCCTTGAAGCAGTGCTGTAATTTATAGATTTAAACCAGTTATTTGGACTAGTTGCCCCTCTGTGTATTTTTGTTGGGGAGGAAATGCTGATGGTACATCATATAGACATAAAAATAGGAATTTCCCTCAATTAAGACTCTTCAAATACCTTCCCTGGTGGTAGGCATTCTATGTCCAGGCTTCCAAGAGGGCCAGCATGGTCCAGGAGGAGCTACCTGGAGTGTCTTAAATTGACCGGAGCTCCTGTAAACCTGGGAAGCTAATTAAATGCTTACACACTGACATGAATTTGTGATTGCTGTATAGGGGCCCTTGATGTGGCCTTCTTTGTTTTCCAGCCAACATTTTCTAGGATGGACTCTGATAATATATCACTCAGGTTGGGTGAAAGCAGCCAAATTTTCCAAACTTGCTAAGTTTGCAAGTCTCATTATATCACGTTTTGTCCGTTGGTTTGGTTTCTGGGTGACTCTGTCTGAACAAGGGAAATGCTCTCCCTATCCGATTGCAACGAGGCTAAAGAGCTTTTCACCTGCTCTCCTTCCTGGCCTGGTGTCAGGTTGTCATCCAGGGAGGCTGGGATGTCAGGAGAAACCCAAAAACTCATTCCCTGCGTTCATGCCAAAGATCTATTTGTGGTGTGAAAGAAAAAATTCTTCATAGCACTTGTTCAAGATGGTAAGGCAGACTTTATTCAACTGGGGCTATGGTGACAGGTGTGGGGCCCACTGGAACAGGTCTTGCAGTAGGGTAGAGAGATTGGGCTGGACTCCGACTCCAACAAAGATGAGTGGGGATTTATAACCAAGGAGCAGATGGGGGTTGGTAGATGGAATATTGCTAAAAGGAAAACATGAGGAGTTAGGGGGATTCTTGTTAGACCAACTCTGTAAAATTGTTGCTGAAGGCAGACTCGGTGATAAGATGTAGAGGGTGATCAGAAATAGAGGGTGAAAATTTTCAGTCACTGACTTGGCAGGATTCTTTCTCAAACTGGATTCCAAAGGAGGGAGAGGGAAGCCCAGTGTTGCCCTAGTCCGAAAGGACTCAGGAGCCTGATTCAAGTTCGGTCACAAGACAGAGTCTTTGTCACAGGCCAGATAAAATCAGTAATGAGGACTATGGAGATTAAAAATCAGAACAAGATGTTGCTCCTTTTTTCCTTCTTTCTTTCTTTTTATTTTTTTTCGCTGAAACATAGTGGATTCTTTCATTCTGCAGTGGAAAAATTCAGACTTCACAGATGAGGATCTGTGTTTTCCTTGAATGAGGAACCAACTAGTTAGCCAGGAACTGAAGGTATAAATGAGTCTCCATCCCTCCTTTGCAAGTCGGAAGTTAGGAGGCTCTGCTCCTCCACCCTCGCAGCAAATGCTGCACATGGCAGATCCTCCAGTGGTGTTGACTTTCTGTCAGTCCTACACCCTGGAGATTGCCCTTTCTGGAGGGTTTTGAGGCAGGGCTCTGGTTTTATGAACAGAGTGTCTGTCTTTGAAAGGCAGCAGATGCAATGAGGGCCTGAATCAAAACAATAAATACCATTCAGGTTTCCTGCTTGGAACTTCTTATATAGTAGTTCCTTTGTAAGAGCAAACATGGACTAAAATGCCTTCTCCCTTCCTCCTTGCTCCCTCTAGCTCCTCTCCACAGCCAGGATCTCAGCCACCTTTGGAAAGCAAAGGTTAAGTACCTGAGCCAAAAAGAGTTGAAACACAAAGGAGAGGAAAGCCAAAGTATCCCTTACTTGCCAGAAAGAGAGTGAGTGGGGTAGAGAGCTTTTGGGGAGGGGATGAATTTTAGTTGAAGCTGGAAGAGAAACAGACCTTAGAGGGGAGTGCTAGCTAGAAATATTCTCCTCCAAGCTGGGATGTTAACAGTGGCACCTTCTGACTTAATGTGGCATCTTTCTTCATCGTTATCAATCTCATGAGAGCTTTCCTGCCATCTGTACCATTCCTGCTTCAGGCTCCCATATGAAAGTCCAATCTGGCAGCATAAATACTGGCTAATGAAGAGTAGATGTCTGACTGCCTGGGAGAGAAGCGATCCTGTGTCATTGATGGAGCAGAATTCATTCATTTAAAACAAAATCTGCTTTTACACAGCCATTCAAGAAGAAATTTTCTCCCCTTTTCTCTCTCTCTCTTTTCCCCTCCCCACTCCCTCTCATCCTCCTTTTTTATTTTCTTCCTGTGTCATTCTACATGAGCGGAGTTCATAGAAAAGTCAGCATAAAAATCGTCTTTGCCCAGAATGCTATACCTTGGAGATTAAAAATAGGAATGCGATGTGGACTTGCCGACATGTGGTGGGCTATTTTTTTCCCCTTCAGTGGGAAAGCTATAACTACATAGATTAGCAAAACTTGTGCAAGAATGGATGTAAAACAGATTTATCTCTGTGTCAGCTTTATCTGATCCATTTGGTCTTGCAGAGTTTGGATGGCTTCCTTTGTTACAATAACCAGCTTTCAAACATCTATGTCCTCAGGGTATTAAATGTCAGCCTCCCATGTACCAGTCAAGGATAGAGCGTTGACAGTCTGTGGGCTGGAGGAGTACTCTGTGTGTGCACATGAGAGGAGTCCCTCCTGCACCAAGGCTGGCTCCCGGTACGACCTAGAGGAACTCCTACAACCTCACTGCATCACAGCATCACAGTGGAGGGGTGCTGAAGCTTGCAGCGGCCATTAATATCCTTTTACAAAGAATTCAAAAAGATTTCCTGTCACTGACAAGGACAGATTTGTTAGAGGGCTCTCAAGGAAATGGACAGTAACTAATTAATTGAACACTCCATGACTTTCTGTAGTACATTTTTTCATTTATCTGTTCTAGTTTCTCAACATGCAGGTCTAGCTCTTCTTTTTCTTTCATTCCTTCCTTTATCTGCCTCTTTCATTATTTCTATCATCCTCTTCTTTCCCTCTTATCTCATTTTCTCCCAGATCTCTTCTCTCTCTCCTTTATATAATCTATACTTAAAAGACATCCCTAGTAGGGTCCACATATGCGAAGTTTTTAGCCAGCAATATGGGTACATTTCTTCTGAGTCTGATACCTGTCATCTTTTGGGGTTGGAAGAGGCCTCAGAAGTTTCCTCTTTGTACTGGTTAGATACATAATCTTCAACTTCCTTGACAAGGTATTGCAAAGTTTTTGTTAAAATCCTACAGTGCTACGTGTATTATTATTATTACTATAATGATTATCCAGGAATAACAAAGTATGTATGCTGTAGAAAATAAGGAACAATGTTGTCTTAATTTACAGAAAAATTAGTGAGATCCTGTCTAATTAAATGGCATTTCATCAGACCCGGCAAGCAGTTCTGTGGATCTTGAATGCTAAATGTAGATATTGCCTTATCCTTATAACTGTGCTGCCTGGTTCACTGGGTTGGAGCAGGGTGCCAATGAGCTCAAGGTCTCCTGCTCCTTCTTCTTCCACTTCTGCACATGGAGAACTGGAATTCCTTAGTATGCACGACCTCTGTTCTCATGTCTGTCTATGTGAAGAAACACAGGGCATGGAGTGAGGTTGTTGGAGAGAGAGAGTTCTAGATGAAAGCAGACCGACCTGGGATTGAATCCTGGCTCTACCACTGTCTTTGTGTATGTGGCCTTTAGCAATCAGTGGACCTCTTGGTACCTCAATTTTGTCATCAGGAAAGTGGGGATACCAGTATCGTGACTCACAGTAAACTCATGGTGTGAATGAAGTTTGTCTTACAGGGTTGGAGACTGAGTGCTGACTCTGGAGTGACCAGCTGTCCTAGTTTGCTTGAGAGTGACAGGGTGCTAGAAACACAAGACTTTCAGTGCTAAAACCAGGACAGCCTTGGGAAAATTGGGGTGGTCAGTTATCTTACTCAGGGTAACTTATCCCCTTTGGAGGACTTGGACCCAGCTTAAACAGGTACCCCAAGGGTTGATGGAACTTTCTCTGTGGTTGAAGAAGGTCTTGTTTTCTTCTGTGGACTAATTGCCTAATCTATTGTGGATTTATGGATTTTTTTTTTGATTTCCAACTTTTATTTTAAGTTCAGGGGTACATGTGCAAGATGTGCATGTTTGTTACATAGGTAAAAGTGCACTATGGTGGTTTGCTGCACAAATCGTCCCATCACCTCGGTGTTAAGACCAGCATTCGTTAGCTATTCTTCCTGATGCCCTCTCTCTCCTCCCACCCTGAACCCTCTTACAGGCCCCAGTGTGTTGTTCCCCCTCAAGTGTCCATGTGTTCTCATCATCCACCTGTAAGTGAGAACATGGGGTATTTGGTTTTCTGTTCTTGCATTAGTTTGCTGAGGATAATGGCTTCCAGCTCCATTCATGTCCCTGCAAAGACATGACCACATTCCTCTTGATGTCTGCATAGTATTCCATGGTGTATATGTACCATATTTTTTTTATCTAGTCTATCATTGATGGGCATTTATGTTGATTCCGTGTCTTTGCTATTGTGAATAGTGCTTCAGTGAACATATGCATGCATGTATCTTTATAATAAAATGATTTTTATTCCTTTGGGTATGTACTTAATATCGGGATTGCTGGATCAAATGATATTTCTGCCTCTAGGTCTCTGAGGAATTGCTAAACTGTCTTCCACAATGGTTGAACTAAGTTATACTCCCACCATGTAAAAGCATCCTTTTTTTTCTACAGTCTCACAGCATCTGTTATTTTTTGACTTTTTAATAATAGCCATTCTGATGGGTGTGAGATAGTAGATCTATGGATTCTGAACTCTGGTTTATAGAAAGCTACTCACCATTCTTATCCTCAATATCTCAAGGGGTAGCATAAAACTTAAAAAATAAAAGTATGAAGATGTAAAATGAAACAAACACATTCCTTCCTCCGAGTCAGAGCTTATTCATTCTTGAAAGCCCAGTACATTTGTTATCCCATTCATGAAACTTTCACCCATGCCCATCTTTTAGCATGATTCTGTGCTTTCTGAGAGTAACGTATTAGGTTATTGCCTTCCCTCCAGCTAGATTTTTAAAATTGTTGAAGGCGGAAAGCCTGCCTTATGTTTTCTGATAAGCCATTGAATAAGTGAATAAATGAAAGAATGAATGATTTATAAGTAGGAAAATGAGTCAGAGAGAATAAATGAGTGAATGAGAGAGTGAATGAATGCACAAATATACGAATGATTTTTATATGATTGTTAGTCAATTACATGTCTTTTCAGTCTTGATCTGGCGCTGTTGTGGATTTTATGTATGTCTAAACTTTTTGACCTTCAAATCCCAGACACCAGTTCTTGGCTTTAGCTGCTATATTAAATTCCTAATACCTAAAAGGACCCAGCTCATATTGGGGGTGCCACTCACTGATAAGCTAGGAGAATATAACTTATTTTTTTCTTTATAATTTTTTGAATTAATTTAAAAACAAAAGTAGAACCTGCCTATGTCAAACAAATAATTATTTAAACTACTCATGAGTCTAAAATGAAAATAAACATTTATATTATCTTTTCCCCCCTGTACCCCAATTTTATCCCTATGCAATTCAAGTTTCTGCTTTTACATTTTTGATGTCTACAATTAAAATAGTAAATCATAGAATTTATAATTTATCTCTTGAGATTTTATTGATATTCTAATGGTTAGCTTTATACCTTTACAAATTCCCCATTCTCTGTTTGATGACTTATATTTAGACATTATCTATGGAATTCTCACTATGTAGCACACTTACATTTATTTCTGCATTTCCCTTTTGTTCTAGAATTTTGTTGCACTGATTTTTATGTTGTCAAGTTTTGAAAGATTTTCATTCTTTTGTTACTACAATTGTTTTTGGTATTTATCCATGAGTTGATTGCAATTATTAACCAAGGAAAAACAGTATTTACAGAACTCACCCCACTGAAGAGATTGGATCCAAAGGGAAGGGAATGTAGTCCCAAATCACTCAGGAGCTCCTAAGCCACAGAAGCCAGAGTTTGCTTTCTTCATTTCTTTGGAGCTTGCTTTCTTCTGGGTCATGCTCAGATGTTATTTTTTTTCAAATGTTTATCTCATCTCATTTTTCTTGTCATATTCAAATTTTGTTTTACTGAAGCCCTTTATAAGAACTAAACTATGAAATATAACGGAGTTACATTTAAAAATCTTTGAATATCTAAAACTGTCTTTAGTTTTACTTCACTTTTGATTGACAGTTTGACTGGATGCGTATTTCTAATTTCAAACATCTTCCTCAGAACGTTGAAGGAATTGCTCACTTATTGCTGTTGAGAAGTGTACTATCATTCTGATCTTGTTACTTGTAAGAACCTACCTTCTTTATGATAATTTTTAGGATTTTTGAAATTTTACCAGGATTTCTTCAGATGTGTGTTGTTTCTGTTCACACATTAACTTGGTAGGTCTTTTCATTATTATTATGTATGTGTTTTAGAGACAGGGTCTTTTTCTGTTTCCCAGACTGGAGTGCAGTGGTGTGATCATAGCTCACTGCAACCTTGAACTCCTGGGCTCATGGGATCCTTCCACCTCAGCCTGTCCAGCAATTGGGACAACAGGCATATGCTACCACGTCAGGCTAAGTTTAAAAAAAAATTCAGAGACAGGGTTTTGCTATGTTGCTTAGGCTGGTCTCAAACTCCTGGCCTCAAGCAATCCTCTCATTCAGACTCTAAAAGTTTTGGAATTGCAGGGGTGAGCCACTGTGTCTAGCTGGTCTTTTCATTCTTAAGAATTATCTCTTTCTATACCCCCAGGATTCCCACCCACCTTTATTTCTTTGATTATTTTTTACTCTCTATTGTTGCTAATTTTCTGCTTTAGGACTCAGATATGTTGCCTTCCTTGCTCTATCTTCCACAAGCTCATATTTTCTATCTCTTTTCATTTTTGCTCTTTTTCATGAAAAATTTTCTCAATCCAGTCTTCACCCTTATTTGTTATAATTGTCTATTCCATACGTTGAATTTTTTAAAGTTTAGTAACCATATTTTTAATTTCCCAACATTTGTTCATGTACTCTTATTTCATAGAAGCTTTTATAA